AGGAAAAATAAATTTTAAACTATTCCCATTAAAGGTTCTTTTTCAATTACTCATGTTTATACTAGTTTTTGTTTGATTTTTTTGCACCAGTATTCAAGCATGCCCTTAAATTATTTATTTTTAAGATATTACGTCTAATTGACTTTTAGGCGTTTTTTTTACTAACGGCACAACTAACTATTTTTATAACACTAAATGTATTTTTTGTATTTATTAAAAGCATGGTTATAGACTTAGTTTTGTTTCGTAAGAAATGCGTAATTGTGACGTTTGAATGTAAAATATTTAAGCACAATTTACATTGCCGCCACACTGAATAGAAGCTAATTTTTATAACGAAATAGCATAATGATGAATATTTAGCATAATTAAGTTTATGTTGTAACGTACAAACTAGATACAAAGTCAAATAATTTATTTCAGAGATAAGCAAATTACACTTGAAATTGCTAATGATATCTTAATCCTCACTTCGTGTACCAATAGCTTAAATCTAGAAGAAAACCTTACATCTCTGCTTGAAAGTACAACCAACTGGCTTAATGACCACAACCTCGAAATCAACCTATCAAAAGCTAAAATTATAAGCTTTCACCCACATCAAAAGATTCCTCTAGATATTGCCATAAAATACCAGGATACAGAAATAACACCAGTTGATCTTTGTACATTGTTAAGAGTTCGCATAGATAAACATTTAGAAAAATGAGTAAAGTAAATTAGAAAAAACATGTAGAAAAACGGAAAGCTAAATTGTCTAAATTTGTATATGCTTTAAGGGAATTTAAAAAAAACAACAGACTTTAAAACTGCTTTATCTACCTATTACGCCCACGCATACACTTGGTTAAACTATGCCATAATTCTATGGGGCAATAGCACGGGTAAGCCTAGTGTCTTCACTATAGAAAATAAATTAGTTAGAATTCTCACAAATATAGCCCAAACTGATAGTTGTAAACCATATTTTATCAAACATAAAATCCTGACTCTCCCTCGCATCTATATACTAGAAAATTTTAAATTTGTGCTAAGCTATCAAGCATTAGAGACGAAATAATGGCCATATATTCCTGGTAACACATTAGCGATACAGCTCTTATCAACTCTCGTTTGCACTGATGTATAGACAGGCCAACTACTGACCTGTGTGTACGTCTCCGTATATTCCAAAAAATATTCTGTGTTTATTGTAATAAAGATAATATCTCTAACAATGCCGTGCTGTTCTATTCGGTTAAATATAAATATGTAATTTTACAATTTTCGTCCATTATAGTAAAGCTCAAGTTAACTGGTCGATTTGAAGTGAAAAAATTGACAACACCCGTCAATTGTTTCGCACTCGGGCTGGCCAATCGGAGCGCAGTTGTAACAGTAATGATATGGCAGAATAGTTTTCAAACAAATTAAATTTCTACATTTCGTCTCTATTTCTGGTTATATACTCGATGCCATCAAGACATATCAAAATCGGAACGACTAAATATGCACTTCGAAATAGAAACAGATTGGTAATACCATATTCTAGATTAAATATGGTTTTCTCTAGTCCGTACACCATGTCAATAAAAATACATGACAAACTTCCGGAGAGTTTAAAGAATGAGCCAAACAACAAATATTTTTTTAAGAACCTAAAGAAATTACTTATAAATAAAAGCTATTATAACGTAAAAGATTTTTTAGAGGATGAAATTCTTGGTACCTGAGTTTTGTTAACTAGTTGTAAACATACTTGTTTAAATTTAGTTTTTAGTCACAATAGAAAAAGTACATATTATAAAAACATTAAATTATATAAAACTGTTGATAGATATTTAATTAATTACATATTAAGTAAAAGTATCAATTATGACTAGTCCTCTCTTCTACTGTGCCCTATTCAGGGTCCATAAATTAATGTACATTGTGTTATGGTAGGCAAATAAATGAGAATAAAGAATAAATAAATCGTCATAGTGATTAAACTCTACTGCTCATTTGAAAGGCAGATTGTCCTGAGAAGAATGAGCAAGAAACTCTAGGGGTTGCTCTTTGTAAATATATATTTGAATACATTTATCATTTAGAATATTTATTTCGATTTTAGATCGAGAATACCTGGAAGAGCTAAACGGGTAACACCAGCACGCAATTTTGTTATCCAAGTACGCAGAAGCTGTATAATAAACCTTTAGAATAAAGTCTTATACGATACTGAAGTTGCGAGAATTCCCTGAGAAATCTCCGAAAGACGCGCGACCTCCGGGTTCAACTCCGGCCGGGTCAATGTAGAAAACTAACTTTTCTTATATAGTCTCGGGTCTGGGTGTTCGTGGTACCGTCGCTGTTTGCGATTACCCTAACACAAATACTGTAGTTACTTTGAGAGCGGAGCAATGTATATGATATGTTCTAATTTGTTTTATTTTTTATTGGACCTGTTTTTTGTCTCGTATCTTTTGTACTTTGAACGGTACGTAATTATTATTCATATAAAATTCAATAAGTCCTATGGTTACAAAAATTTACTTCTGTTCCGCAGCAATGTAAATTGAGCTTTAAGGTGCTTTTCCACTGTCGAGGCGAGACGAGACAAGGATTGAAATTTGTATGGCAAAATTTACTGCATCTTTGAAATGGTCTGGATTGACAAGGATGGGCGAGGCGGGAATGGAAATATTCGTTGATGATTGAATATTGAACCGTATTGCTGCCCACATAGAGTACAATTATACTCTACATCGGGAACACGATTTCTCGCGGGAGCTCGTGAGTGGGCACTCACGTCTCGTTTCGCCTCGTTGATGGAAAACCACCTTAAGTCTTAGATTTTAAAAGATTATCTTTGATTAAGTAGCTTGTTTGTCAATTTTTTTTTAAATAATGTAGATTGTGTCTTTGTTTATTTTTCTGCCAGTTTACGTATTAGTAAAATGCATATATACTCAATAGAGGGCGTGTGGAATCCACTATTCCCTATAAAGCATTAGGTTCTTTATAAGGAATAAAAATATTTGGACAGATCGCACTAAACGATGACAATTTTGTGCATATAAATCTGTGTCCGATGAGAAACACAGGGGCGGGGTAGGTAGCAGTCGTTGGAGAGGACGCTTGCGCGTTTGAACTTACTACCAAATATATATCTAAAAAGTGTGAAATAGTACAACAAAATTTTTGATAAATTTATTACGTTTTGTAAACAGTAATGGAACAAATGTTGTTGTTTACAATGTTAGGAATGTTCCTCCAGAGAAGTACTGCCATCTTACCTATTTCTGCCGTACAGCAGTAAAATCAGCATTACTGTGTTCCGGTTTGGAGAATAAGAGTACTGGTGAAATTACAGACACATGGGCAACTTGTGTCTCAGGGTGAAGGGCGCAGTGGCAGTGCCCCTCAAATCTTTGCGATTTAAAGCTCTGAGTGTCACTGCAACTGTTATGGACAGGCGTGTAGCTTACTTCCGGATCCATCAGGCGTATGACTTGTTCATTCCGTCACTTGATACTATAAAAAAAATTACGCTCTCTATTGTGTATAAGTAACTATTTATTCCACTCCGTAGACAAAGTAGAATTTAACTTAGAAAAAATAACAATATTAGTCAAATAACAATTAGCCTCTCATATAATATAATGTTATTTACCATTATATTACATGAGAGACTAATAAATCACATTCTTGATGCAATAAGGCCACATTTGCTTCTTTTCAGGAGAGAGTTCAAAAGATTCTATGAACGAAATTAGTTGGTAACTTTTTATGCTTCAATAGTAGAGCTAGAAAATTTAAAATCTAAATAATTTGTTTCTTATACTTTCATTGTGATAATAGTTATTTTTGATACAAGTGCGGAAAGTTAGTCATTATTCACGAGTCTCGAGGCTTCTTGGTCCGAGCCAGAGGCGAGGGTCAAGACTCGAGACAAGTGAAAATGACAAATCCGCACGTGCATCAAACGACGTTTTTTAATACATTTGCGAAAAAACTACATTGAAAGTAAAATAAAACAGTATTTAAAAAAAACTCATTTTCTGCTAGTAAATTAAAATAATGAAATACAACCACTGCAACCATTATTTAAAAGTCTATGGAAATCTAGTTCTAACGTGCTGTTTTTGTTTATTTTCTGTAATATCGGTCTGTAACCACTTTTCTTATTATGAAGTCCTGGTACTTTTGTTTAAACTTCTTTAGGAACCCGTGCACGGTAGTGAGATACAATTTATCTGTAATAAATAGAACAAATATATACATAAAAATCTCGCCTGTCACCCATTCAGGGGTAGGCAGAGACTGTGGACCTCCACTCGATACGTTCATTATATAGTATTTGTAAATAAATATAAGTTTTAATGACGAATGACTTACGTCACAAAGCACATAAATATACAACTTCTTTAGTTCTGTGCTTAAGATTTGAAACAACAGTAAATTAAAAAAAAAATGGAAAAGTAAAAAGCACTAGTGCGAAAATTCCAACTTTCGGCACGATTTGTAGTACGAAAAATACCACGTTTTGAGCAACTGTATTAAAAAATCAGTTTTGACGTCATATCGGATTTATTATACCACGAAATTATAACGTGTACGAAATATTAAAAAATTGTGCCGTGTGACTCAAGCTAAGTGGCAATTTGATGCCTGCGATTGCACGTGAGTGTGGCACTCAGGCGAGCAAACAGCTCCCGGGCCAAGCCTTACCTATTTCTGCCGCTAAGCAGTAACGTGAGCCTTATTGCAGTGCTGTTGAAATTACAAATTTATGACTCAGAGTGACAGGTGCAGTGGCAGTGCCCTTCAGATCTTTGTGATTTAAAGTCTCTGAGTGGCACTGCAACTGCTATGGACAGGCGTGTCGCTTACCAACAGGCGCGCGATTTGTTCGTCCCATCACTTAGTGTAATAAAAAAAAACCCATAGCTACTATGTCTAAGACGAAGTTCTAAATCACCTGATATTTCTTGCTTTGCAATATTTTAATTTACTAATATATTTTTTTCCTTTTACAGATCTTACATCTCATCTCCATACACGGACAAGAATATAAGAATGTTGTGATTTTACAACAAAGAAAAAGCGCTTGACATACACAAAACAATTTTAAAATTCAACATCAATTTAATTTATTTAAATTATAAATGTTATTTTAAATTTTATTTTAATATAAATTGTTATGCCACAAAAACTCTCTAAGTACAACACTCATGTACGCTAAATATTATACATACATAAAATTGTACCTATAGGCTTTTTTACAAGTATATTTACAATAGTTGTAACGTTATTAAACTAGTTTTAAGAAGAAATGTAAGTGGTTCTAAAGGCGATGCTGTGCTAATTTGAGGTAAACACACATCTATCATCCATTAATCATAGCCGCAAAAGCTGATAATACCGTTTACCGGCATTTTCTCACATCTATTAAATATTGTACGCAAATATTAGTACGTTGGGTAAATTTCTGAAAAATTTCAAATATAAGAAATTTTTCCGAAAAAATTTCTGAAAAATTGGAAAAATTTAATTCGAAGACTCATATTATGTTCCACGTTTAGATATATCTTTTATATAGCGTGAATTATAAAATAAATTGTACAGCTAAAAGCAAGTAACAGTAAAAACAGATTTAAAATGATTGATTGGACAACAGCGAAAATAAAAGAATGAAAGGTAAAAAAAATCTTTATAATGGAGCCATCGTTTTCGTCTTTTGACAGGTGTCAGATGCGGAAAAATATAGAAAAAGTATTTAATAAAAAAAGTTTTTTTCAAAATGAAAATTTTTCCATGACCCAACACTATGTACTCGTCACATTTTAGTGTCTATTTTTTAGCTATAACGTCATAATATTTGACTGCCTCATTTTGCTGATAATTGTGGCGCGTGTGCATTGGACTGATAAGTAGTCTTTTACCTTTAATTGTTACCTTAACGTGTACTATTTCGCTTTCATCAACGGATTGGCATTATAATATAGTGTTAGGTATAGAAGTCGCTAGAGCCCACCCTTCAAGCCATGCCTTTAAATAAATTAATTAATAAAAAAATTAAACAGGAAAATTATAACACCTACTGAAGCACTCGGACCTGCTGAGGCAGCATGCAGGGGTTTTTGCATCATCTAAATCAATACAATCTACAGATCAAATCTGCAGATCTCACTAGTGGTGGGTGGTAAATAAAGTCACGATGAAAAAATCACAGTGATTAACCGTCAGATAGTATCACCGTGACATTTTACGATGGCACGACGTTCGCGTTAATTTTAAATTCTAATTATGAACCAAGATATAATTAGATTAGTGTAAATTCCGTGGAAATGTGTGTAAATACAAATAAGTTATCTTATTTTACAAAGCTGATTCAAAATAATAAACACGCCTCGTGGTCTTATTTAACGAATAATGCGACAGGGAATTAAAGGCTACTTCAAAGTGAGTAATAACTTTATAACGAGTATTAGAAAGTAGCCACTTACCAAAACCATATGTTACTTCGTGATGTAAGCGACATTCCTAGTAAAATCAAGGTGATTTTTCACTGTGATTTTTTTGTAACTGGAACGATAGTCACGGTGATATACCTCCAATTAACACTACGCCATCTTTATTTTTTTGGTCAAATTTGTTTTCTGTTATTTTCTAAACAGCCGAATTGTGAAAAAAAAGGCCAAAATGGAAAAACGAAAAAAGTTTTATGAAAAAGAAAATAAAGAAAGAAAAAACAAAATAAAAACAGAACATTTCCAAAAATTAAGCCAACGTAGTGTTCATTGAAGGTATCGATAGAAATGTAACGTTTTTCCTCATCTCTAGACCTCACGAAAATCTCTATCTGCTTGTTGCAGATCTTCATATTGGATTTAAACTGCTTTTTTGCCGTAGAGTTAACACTAAACAACAGACATACACATACCAATACCTGTGTCTTCTTGGTCGTAGGTTCACCTTATGATATAAAAACACAGACCATAAAGCCAAAGTCAAGAAATTGAGGACATAACTGTCACTACCTCGTTTCAATCAAAGAACAATAAGCTATTACTGTCCTCGTTATCATACTAACTTAATCGACAATTTTAGAGAAATTGAGTTATTAACATGTCTGGAATCGATGAAACTAGATCTATAACCCCCTACAAGCGGTTTTTTTATATCTTATTTAGTTTGAGTTTTATTGTTAAGTGAAATCAGCGTAAGTAACATTTTTTACTGTCAAAAAAACTTTAGGTGCCAATATCTCGAAAGTTATGGCAAGGAGGACAGAAGAGTTTATTTGGTTTCTGTAAAATTATGACAATGTACATTTTTCTTAAAAGTTATTATAGTTACCAAACATCTTTATACTCTTTACTTATCACCTATATAACTTAATTGTTTATATTGTAAAAATATAGATCTGCAAATATTTCCAAGAACCTCGGAATAAATCATTTAAATTTATTTAAGTGCTTCTTTGCACAACATGTGATCTGATTTTAATGTAATGTGCAATAAGTATGCAACTTAGACTACTTAATAAAAATCGCAGTTGTTATGGCCTTAAAAATGTTGTATAACCGCATATAACTTATTGTCCTTGAATAGATTGCTCTTGACTATTGACTCCGTGCAACGTAGTAAACACGCCGAGCTTATTCTGTTTCAAAATAAAATTGACAAAACGCACCCTTGATGTAATAAAGTCACATCTGCAAAATGACAAATTTTCAGGAGAGAAGTTTAAAGATTATACGAAAATAGGAAAGTTATAAAATTTCACATATGCATCATTTGTTTAATGTAGATTGCATTACTTTTGTAACATCTATATGATAAAAACTCTTAACAGATATGAATCACATGTGGGAAGGGTACGTAATTTTGAATTTGTTAAAAAACGGTGCCGGTGTCGAGCTCTTTAAAGCGGTAAATAGAAAGACAATCACAACGCTTGTTTAGCAATGAAATTACTGATAACGTTTATAATTGTTATTAAGCAATTAGAACAACATAATAAAGACCAATATTAAACGACTGTAAAAGAGCTCGGTGGCACGGAGCCAAAGTACAGTGCCAACATCTTATCTGTGATATGGCGAATAAAAGCAATAAGGGCGCTTTCAAATTAGACGCTTATAGAAGCTCTGCAATAACGCCACTCCTAATTTTCGTACCTTATTTTATGGAAATTAGTAGTGGCGTCACTGTAATGCTTCTATAAGCGTCTAATTTGAAGGCCCTCTAATGCTCCCAAGTTTAGACACGTCAAATGAAAGCAATTGTAAAGACACTAGCGTCACATCATAACACAGTTAAGTTGGCAGGCCTGTAATTTGACCACCAATGTAAATTTGACCCAAATGTTTAAAAAAAATCTTGAATGTAAGTAAACGTGCGTTTTGTTTGAGTGATTGTATTAATATTGTAAAATTATTTGTTACTAAATGAACTTTAAACCTAAATAAAACTATTTTAATAATGATCCCCAATAACGACTTTATCAGATTAATTTGAGACCATAATTGCAAAAATAATGAAATGGAAAATAATTAATTTAAGAGCTACAAGTGAAAATCACTAGACTGTTAAAAGAGTTACCCATCTTTTAGGCTTTGTCGTAATCGAGTAATAAGCCAAAGGAAGTTAGCTTATTTTTTGTTTAATAAGCGGGTCAAATGGTCCCGAATGGGCTTGTAATTATGGGCAAGTAATACTTAGTTATTATATAAAAGGAAATGGTACCTAAGTTCACTTTTTTTTAATTTAATGTATTTTTCACTTTTTGTATAATTGAACTAATTTAAAAAGTCGTTAACGCATAATAGTTTTTATGTGGTTATTATTAAATTTCCGATAAAATTATTATTTATTTTATAAATGTTGCGCAGAGTGTTTTTCTGTAATTTTATTTTTTCCTCTTTTATAATAAAAAATTGCCTTTTTTTAAAAAAACTTTGTGGTTTCATTTCGTTAAGGCGCCTTCAAATTAGACGCTTATAGAAGTGCTGCAGTGACGCCTCTGTGGCGCCACTACTAATTTACCTACATACGCAGTAAAACAACTAAATTTAAAAACCTGTCGCCAATTTATTTTTGAACCCAACTTATGGCTTAATTTTACCGTGTTAAAATAGAAATGGTTTAACTCAGTTGATGGAGCGGTGGCCGTCGTTTGGCATACAGGCGGAAACGCCACCTGGTTTCTTCTTTGATGATCCATGCGTTCATAGAATCTTCCAAAGTTGTCATTTTGTTGATATGTTTGATGTAAAAGTACGAAATCATCTTTTACAACTGTGACCACGTTACTATATCCGAAGAATTATCTTTGTACATTAAAGCAGTGTCTTCAAACACAGACAAAATATGTTTTGTAAAATTTGTACTCGGATTTAAGTTCAGAGTTAAAGCCGATATTGGCAATGGACAGTTAAAATGACTTCTACTTATAACACGTTGTGGCAACGGCCGATTCTTTGATTCATGAAGTTTGTTGCACAGAAAGCAGGAAAACTTGTCCATGATATTTGATAGACTTGTTTGATAAGGTCTGGCCTTTGTTACTGCTATAAGGTGTTGGTTAGAAATAATACCTTTAGTCTTGTGCTCTAAATACTCTTCGTACAAATCATCATTTGCCATTAATTCGTTAATATGCTCGCTTAGTAATTCTGGCGTTGGAAAGTCTTGTAGCAAAATTGCTGATTTCTTATTAGGTAGCCAGTCTCTTATACTAGGTGATCCCAAGTATATAGGAACGACACCTAAATGAATAGCACGCCATAGTTTCTCCGTTACATAGTCTTCACAAACCGTATTCTCTATCGCTATTATGAATTTATATCTAGCTATAAAAGAGAGATGCTCAACACTGTCTAAATGAAATATATAATCGTCAGTAAGTTCAATCGATATTTTTTTATTATTAACACATTTGCCATAAGAATCTATTGATTGGTGCTTCATTAACTCTAGCACGTAATTATCTCTTTCTGTAGTCGTTCTGCAGTGAGTTTGGAGGTACAGAATCGGTGATATATCAGTCAAAAGAGCGTTCTTTTTAGATGTTTCAACATAATACATTTTACTAGTAATATTGTTCAAAGAAACAATGTATCTTAATGTGAATGGTACGTCGCTGTATCGACTGAAAGTACTGGAATAATTAAATTTGCTTATGACATTTCCGTGCATACATTCAATACAATATATAGGCGTTTCTTCAAGTAACGCTCCCCATATAATGATGGCAGGATTTTTAGGTAATAATGGATAATCCTGCGGGCTCATTTTGTGTGGGTGGAACACATAAGCAACCGGTACATCTTTCACCGATTGTTCTTCTGTATACGGCACTATGTCACACCTGTACTCACCACATTCAACAAGTGTAGGAACTTTGTAAGATTCAAAAGATATCTTACTCCACCATATAATAGGAACTTTGTCATTTTTTAACAGAGAAGATGTGTAAGGCGATTCGTAATA